AGAGAGAGAGAGAGAGAGAGAGAGAGAGAGAGAGAGAGAGAGAAGGGGAATATCTTACAAGTTTGGAGGGGCAGAGGAAGAATGTCACCAATCTTCTGTCTGAAAAAAGGTTTATGACAGCAGCCATTTTGAGAGAGTGGCCATAAAGGACTCCCAACATTCCCAAAGCCAGAGACAGTTGCGGGCCTTTAAGACTGGGCAGTCCTGCCACAGCATTTACTGGTGCCTGGGCCCAGGGCAGAGAGGGCTGCCTCAAGTCTACCCTGGGCAGAGAGAGGCATCTCTAGGATGGGGGGTGGGGTGGGTGGGGAAACAGCATCATTCTTCCTTTTGCTGGCCCAGGAGCGGTCACAAGTCGTATTTTTGTTTAATGGGCCCTTCAGGAACAGAACACAAGCAAGAGGCCTTGCAAAGGGAAGCATTTGTTGCATCTTCCTCATAGCTTTGTGGGCAAGAACAGGCAGCCTCTTCTCACCCATTCAAAGTGGATGGACAAACCCGAACTAGGCTCAGGGGCTGCACATTATATGAACAGCTGAACTCAACTCAGCAGCAGGCTTTCTTGCTCAGAACAGCTTCTAAGTTGTTTGAGGCTCAAGTGGTCTCTCCAAGTAATCTGTACCACGCAAACAGGGGCAGGAGAGAGAACGCTCTCGCCCTGCTGCCAGCAGAGACCAGCTGATCTAGGAAGGCTCTCTCCCTGGTCTCCATGATTGCTCAGGCTTAATTTCATCTATACTAATGCTAAACCCAATTGGGCAATCTGATTTTTAATTTAATTGGTTTTTTTTTAAAAAAATCTGCAATAAAGGGAAGATTTCCAGCCAACTGTGTAGCAGCCGGGAGGTGGTTTCTCCCAGTTGACCAGAGCCTTGTGATGGCGTGCTGGGGGCCCAGAGCATTTCCCTGCACTGCACTGTGCAGATCTAGGCAACGTGAGCAGCATGCAAGACAACTTTCTCTTGGCTTTTATCAGTCCTGGAAATAGCTAATTGAAGTGTGGTTGAATCAAGGTTTGCAACCCTCAGAAAGCATTTGAAGGCCAGTCTTTGATAGGAGGAAGCAGGAGATCCACCTCGTCCCCCTTGGGTCTCAGGAGGTCTGCACAAGTTACAAAACGAGTGAATCAGTTCCTGATGTTCCTCATTTCAAAATGAGTTTTTCCAGCTATTGCTATTGTTATTCACCCTTTGGAGAGTTCTGAAATCAGATTAAGTAAAAGGATACGCGGTTATCGTGTCACTCTAGCTCCACTGGAAATCTGTAGCCACACCAGCAATGCACTACCCTGGATACCAATTTCTGGTTTATTTTATTTAATAGAGCACCCATTTCACAAAAAGCCAAAGTCTTGCAGGCCGTATTTTCCATGAAACCCGATGAATTTGAAAGCTGCGTTAATGAGACCATATGATGCCTCAGGAGGCACTCGAGAGGCCTTACTTAGCATGAGAATCCGTCCTAGAAAGTGAACTAAATCATGTCAAAGAACACAGATTTTCAAATATTGTAAAATGTACGTATCTTCTAAAATACTAAGCATAAAACTAGTAAAACTAACTGGATTATTTGATAATCTGAATGAATAAAAAAGGATGCTTCTCTTCAGAAAATATAGATTAATTTGCCAACATCCTATTCATTGCATTAAACTGAATACTTGATTGTCCCCAGGATTTGACAATAAGACGTTACTTACGATATTCTCCCGAATGGGGCAAAAGCTGCTTTTATATCTTCAGTTGTAATTTCTGGGCTGAGGTCTCCAACAAAGACATGGAAGTGGTCTTACCAAGAAAAGAGAGAAATGTTCAAGTTTGCAGAGTGTTCATAGAAGTGTAGGTGATGGTAATTTTAAAAATCTTGTACTGATTTCCATACAAATAGAAACTACATGAAAACTATATTTTATTAACCTATCAGATAACAAAATACAACGTTGTTTTATTATATATCCATCAGGAGACATGGCAGTACAAAAGTATAGAAAATTTACATAAAACTAACATTTATTGTTTTTATATTAACTGTAATTATTATTCATAGCAGAAAATGTATTACCATGAGAACTAGGCTCATCTAGCTCAAAGCCAGAGCAAACATATGCTGCATTTGTAGCTTTGTTTTGTAGTACTAGCATTAAAAAAAGCTACCACATCTATTGGTTCCATGAGCAAAAGAGAGCAAAATTTACACAAACTAGTTATGGAGAACCTAAGTTACATATAGCTCAAACTTAAGTCATATTTTGGGAAGAACAGTCAAAAAGATACCTTGCATTGCAACAGTTTGATGTTAAAGTATTTGACAGTTTTCTGAAAAGCCAAGAGTTTTGATTGCCCAGCCTTTACACCATGTGAATCCATGTGAATTCAAAGTATGTGAAATCCATGAGCAAGTGAACTAAGACTGAAGGCAACAGAACGGAAAGAGTAATCCCTTCACAATTTAGATTAGATCCATTTACATAAGAACTGGCGAAACACAGGAGTCATATCTAAGGAGGTCCTTCATAGTCACACAAAGCCCACTTCAATTTTCCGCACCTCTAGCAGGTTTCACGGCACACCTGGCGCTGCAACAGCACCGCTCTGGCAAAAAGAATCCCTTTACATCCTCCCCAAGTTCTCAGAGCTCTCAGGCCGGGCAAGTAGAGAGGCAGCCCTGGGTTGCCGAGTAACAGGAGGGAAGGAAGATCCAATTGGAGGAGCAACTGGCACCCCACAAGAAGTGCGGGGCTGCAGGGTGGGCAGCAGCTCTCCCTCACAGAGGGGCCACGCCCACCGGGGGCCACGGGGCTTACAAGTCGGCAACAGTCCACATCCTGATCCACCTGAGAGAGGAGGAGGAGGAGGCAGACCGCTTGCGACAACATAATCACCCCCCCAATGGCTTCAGGCGGTTAGTGAATAGACACCCCTGAGAGATTTCATTTTATGTTTAAGAAGATACAATTACCTTGTGAACGCAGTGTGTTGACAACGGTACTACCTGATGACAAAGATTAGATTTGTTCTTAAGTTTATTAACACAAACACATTAAATAATATCTTAGGATAATGATCAAAATAATAGGGCAAATATTTGCATGATGCTTATAGCTTAACATTAAAAACACTTTTGTGCAAATAAAGAGTAAGGACTCAGGATAGGAAGGGACTTACTGCTGGTATCTTTCTTCTGGCTGCTGGGGGTTGTTGCCCAGTTCACTTTGACCTCCTAGAAATAATATTTACTACAATTATATCCAGGAAAGTTAGTACAAAGGTTAACATAACCTGCAGTCCTGCCAATGATTTGACGTGTTATACAGTGGGGGTGGGGGGGGGGGGGGGGGGGAGAAGAAGGCATTGTTCCTGAATGTCAGGGGAACTGTAAATCATATCATTCATGGCAATTTGTCACATGGGCTACACAAATATACATATACAAATGACACAAATCACTGCAATTAATATTAAATTAACATCAATTTAACTGACATAAATTTAAACTTATCGACTTCAGAGGCAATAGACTTGCCCACTGCTTCTGGGAAAAATCCAGGCAAAAAATTCACCCATGGAATCCAAAGGCTGCTAAACAGGCATCCACTACATTGAGGTTTTGCAACATTTAAGACATGATTTTGCTGTATTTAGCAAATTTATCAAAAACAAGACTCTTCCACAAATGAAGTTGAATATCAAGTAACTTTAAATAGTTTTCCTTTTTTATAACCTTATGCTTTATTTTGCCAAACTACTTTTCCCAAGTTTCATTTGCGAAGTCATCATGCAGTTTTAGCTCAAAATGTTCTTTAAGAACATTCAATAGTTCAATTCTGCAATACACGAGGCTCAAACAGGATAAAAGTTTACCTTTCAATTTTCTTCTTTTTTAAAACATGCTTTCATCCATCTATTTAAAGCCACAGTCCTGCTCCACGTCCCCTTTAGACCTGAGAGCTTACCTTACCCATTATCTTCCGCCCATTCATTGCCGCTAAAGCTGCGGCTGCGTGACGGTGCTCATAGAACTCCACAAAACAGTACGGATCATTCCCAGCTGTCTGCTTAAACAGAGAGAACACCCAGTCACTCTAGGAAGATCCTTTGTTAACCAGACCAAAATATTGACAGAGAAAGGGACATTCTATTCCCAAAGAAAGTATTCAAAAGTAACTGTTTTAGATCTCTTAAATGGATGCATTATTTTTGAACAGCCAAACTGAAAGAGAAATCCTATACATCTCTACCTGAATCACTAAACCTGATGGATATTTTTGAACAGCACACATTCCTTTTATATTTTGTACTTCTTTGTAGTATCATTTATTTTATTTTCCTTTAACAGGATTACAGCATTTCCAAATGATTTCACAAACCTTTGAAAGTAATTTTTAGAATGAGTTTTAATATTAAACTAAACTTTCCAGTATAAAAGCAGTAATACTATCCATTATATTTTACTATTCTGAATATGATGCAGTATCCTACATGTACCACAA